CAAAAAAAAAAAAAAAAAAAAAAAAAAAAGAACCATGGAATAGCTTTGCCTGTTCTAGAAGTCCAGCAAAAGATGCACTCCTTCGCATCTGGCTTACTTCAGCCTAATGTCTGTGAGAGCCACCCATGTTGCAGTGTTTAGTTTGATTGCAGTATTCTGTTGTATGGATATGCTACAGTTTATCCATTCATAATTGTTGATGGACATTTGGGTGATTTCCAGCTTGGGGCTGGAATAAAGCAGCTATGAACACTTGGGTACAAGTCTTTGCATTTTCATTTCTCAACAAGACAACTTTTTGGTAAACCTTTTGCTTCATCCTGAACATCCTTCCCTGGAATAGGGCTCTGGTTACACGGAAGAAACAGGTGTGCTGACTTAGGAGCCAAGACCATCACCCGAGTCAGTCGGGTTTCTGATTTCTGAGTTAGTCTCAGCTGAGTTGTATTTTTGACTACGGAACACGTGCCCAAGAAGGTAAATTCAAAGGTACCAAGAGGCACAGATCCAGCTTCCACTCCAGTCTCTCAGCCCTACAGGTCCCCTTCCCAGAGGCCACGACTCTTACCAGTTTCTTTTGTAACCTTCTAGAAATGTCTCATGCACATGAAAGCAAATAGGCAGCTCCTTCTCTCCTTTAACATATGCTGCATTCCATGCAGTGTAGCGTTGTTTTTTACAATCTTAGAGGTCATTCCATACTGGCACATACAGGGCTGTCTTTGGCTACTAAAAGGTAGGTGTTTCATCTTCAACTAAGCAACTCACCCTAGAACAAGGGTCCCCAACCAGGGAACCAGAGAACAAGGGTTCCCTGTTAGGAACCGGGCGCACAGCAGGAGGTGAGTGGCGGGTGAGCTCTGCCTCATGTCAGACCAGCAGCAGCATCAGATGCTCATAGGGCGCGAACCCTACCGTGAACCGCGCGTGCGAGGGATCCAGGTTGCGTGTTCCTGTGAGCATCTAATGCCTGATGATCTGAGGGGGAGCTGAGGCGGTGACGCTGGCGCTGGGGAGGGGCCGCAAATACAGGTCATCATTAGAGAGGTCTGACTGCACAGAGAACATCATAAATCAATCGCTTGCAGACTCATCAAAACCCTGTCAGTGAGCGGCAAGTGAAAACAAGCTCAGGGCTCCCGCTGATTCTGCATTATGGGAAGTTGTATAATTATTTCATTATATGTTACAATGTGATGATAATAGAAATAAAGTGCACAATAAATGTAGTGTGCTTGAATCATCCCGAAACCGTCCCCTCTCCCCGTTCCGTGGAAAAACTGTCTTCCACAAAACCGGTCTCTGGTGCCAAACAGGTTGGGGACCACCGCCCTAGAAGGATATACTTTCATTTAGGTCACGGAAAGGAGATTTTAAAAGGAAGTAAAACTTGTTTTTGAACCACAGCATAGGTAGAGGCAAATAGATAAATTATCTTTATGAAAATAACATTTTGAGCTTCTTAAATTCAGGAAATGAAAAATTTCCTGAATACAGCAAAAATTTCTTCCTAGATACAGCACAAAAAGCACAATCCATAAAAGAACAAATCGATAAATTAAACTTCTTTTGGGAATTCCCTGGCGGTCCAGTGTTTAACACTTGGTGCTTTCATTGCCATGGGCCCTGGATCGATCCCTGGTCAGGGAACTAAGATCCCACAAGCCGTGCGGCGCGGCCAAAAAATGTAACCTTTCATAGGCTGTTAAGATTGTGTCAGGTGTCCCGACTCACTGCAGCGCTGCCTCTGAATAGTTCCCCTAACGATGCACAGGAACGAAAGCGCGCCGCTAATGCTTCCACGGCAGCCGCGTGGCAGCTGGGCTGGACAGCAGCTGGGGGGGCACCCAACCCGCCTGCCTTGCGGGAGGTGAGGGGTTGAGCACGTGGTGTCCGCTCAGCCGTGACACTGAACATCTGACCAGAGGTAGAAGAGGGAGCTTCTTGCTAGATGTGAAAAGGCGTGGTTCTCAGGGCAGCGGTCCCCATGCTTTGGGGACATCGGAATCCTCCAGAGGGCCAGCCGCTGGGCCCCAGCCCATTGTCTCTGATTCAGTAGGTCTGGGCCAAGACCTGATAATGTGCATCTCTAACAGGCTCCAGATAGTGCTGAGGAAGGACACGCAGAGGATACAGAGGCAGAGGGCAATCAGGAAGCTGGGGGACAGAAACGGGGTTTGGAGAGAAAATGTGGCTTCAGAGACTCGCAAGGGTCACTGCAGTCAGGAGTTGCGTCACCATGGGGCCGGGGGTGCAGTGACCCGAGTCTGTGCTGCAGGTTGAGTTCTCAGCCCCTCTCCAGGTCCGACCCCCACCCGGAGGGTGAGCCCTTGGAAGCCTTGCTGACACCCTTGTCTTAACTTGTTTGGAGCTCCTGCCACCTGGTGGCCAGAGAGGGCACTACAATGAGCAGTGGGGACCCCTCAGTCCAAAGGCCCAGGATTCTCGAGGCTGCGATCACTGTGAGGTTAAATCTAAGGAAAGAAATGAGTCTGAATTTCAATTATCAAAACACACGAAGACAGGCATACAGAATAGTTATAATAAATATTTTAAGTTATATTTTCAAATACCAAAGCATAAGTGTTAGTATTTGATTTTTGGAAAAAACACAGCATTTTTTTCCCCTTGTGTTAACATAAATATTTGGCTTATGGAAATAAAACTCACTTAAAATGAAATCTTTTAGGCACTTGGGGATAGAAAAGTGCAGGAAAATATAATACAACTTTACTGTACTGCTACTTACAAGAGAGCAACCAAAATTATATCTGATTAAACATCCTATTTTCAACTGTCAGAATTACTGACGTAAGAAAAAATACTGTGACCAAATATAGCCACGTAACATTTTAAATTCCAGTGTATCTTAAATGGGAAACATTTCACTGATAATAGTTCTTAAGATTTCAAATTCTTTTCAGTCTTTCACTGAGATATTAAGTTTCAGTAGACAGAACCCAAAGAACATTCCTTTTAATCACTTTGTCTTTTTTCTTTTTAAATACTCAAGAACTTTCTTGGTGGGCATTTAAGCAAGAAAGAACCAATAACCCATGAACCTAGCAGTGCACATAGACTAAAAAAAAGAATGTGCTGATTTGGTATGAGAAGTTGACATTTAATTTGAAGGTGGCTGTCGATTTCTGGCAGACCTCTCAGTGAATTGCATGAGTTAGCCATAAAATACAGAAGCCACTCAGTAAAAGTTATTTATTTCAAAAACTGCTGGGTGTGAAGAATTGTCCCAGGAGAGCACTGGGCACGGTGCTTAGAGAATACATTCTTCTTGCTGTTAAAGGCTTGCTTGTGAGGGTCCTCGGCTGTTGACAGAAAGGTGCCCTGTGATGAGATTTAAAGGCCACGAATCCCAGTCCAGGTGAGGACGCGGCTTGGGTGTTTGCTGCCCCCAGCTGTTGCGCTGAGGCTCTGCTCCCAGGACTCTGGTCACGGGGCGGGCGGCAGGGCCTGCAGGTGCTGTAGCAGCTGCTCGCAGTGGGTAGGTGAGCGATGCTTATGGAGGACGGCCTCCATCTCTCTCACCAGGAGGTCAGGGAAGAGGACACCGCCTGCTTTGAGGGCCTCTGCAAAACAGGGAAACACCTTTATGACGCCAGGAATAAACATTAAGCCAAGCTCAGCTTCCCATTAAAGTTAGAACAGCCGTAAGCAGAGCAGACTGCAGAGCAAGGGACGTGGTCGGGGGTTAGGAGGGCACTGCGTAATGATTAAGGGGTTAGTTCTCAAGAAGACATAACGATCCTTATCAGTATGAGCCCAGTAATAGAGTGTCAAACAACGTGAGGCAAAACTGACAGCTGCTAGGAGAAATAGATTAATCCACTACTGTGGCTGGAGACTCCCATGCCCCTGTCTCAGAAACGGGCAGATCCAGCAGGCAGGAAATCGGTAAGTACGCCCAAGCGGACCCCAAGAGCACCATCAATCAATCAAATATCTATAAACTATCTCATCCAACAGTAGCCGAGTATACGTTCTTCTCAAGCTCCCATGGAACAGTCACTAAAATAGACCACATTCAGGGCCATAAAACACACCTTCACAAATATAAAAGGACAGAAATCATACAATCTCTGCTCTCAGACAACAATGGAATTGAACTGGACATCAGTAACAAGGAGATAACTGGAAAATCCCCAAATATCTGGAGGTTAAACAACACATTTGTAAACACCACAACGGTCAAAGGAGAAATCTCAAGGAAAAAAACATTTTGAACTAAATGAAAATGAAAACACAACTTATCAAAATTTGGGGGATGCAGTGAAAAGCAGTGCTTACAGGGAAACTTATACCATTGAATGCACACATTAAAACAAAGATCTAAAATCAATAATCTAAATCACCACCTTAGGAAACTAGAAAAAAGAGCAAATTAAATCCAAAGTCAGCAGAAGAAGAATCAGAGCATAAATCAGTGAAATCTGCAACAGAAAATCAACAGAGATCATCCACGAAACCCAAACTTGGTTCTCTGAACAACTCTCTGCCCACAAATCTGATAACCTAGGTGAAATGGACCAACTCTCGGAAAGGCATAATCTGCCCAAACTCACATGAGAACAGACAATCTCAGTAGACCTATATCTGTTAAAGAAATTGAATCACTAATTAATAACCTTCCCAAACAGAAAGCACCAGCCCCAGTAGGTGAACCAGATGAGTTCAGTGGCGAATTCTACCAAAGCTTTAAGGAAGAAATGGAACCAATTCTCTGCAATCTCTTCCAGAAGACAGAAGCACAGGGAACACGTCCTAACTCATCCTATGAGACCAGCATTACCCCTATACAAACTCAGAAAAAGATGCTACAGGAAAAGAAAACTACAGACCAATATTTTCTCACAAACATAGATGCAAAAATCCTCAACAAAAATTAGCAAATCAAATCCAACAATGTACAAAAAGCATCACACACCAAGACCAAGTGAGATTTATCCCAGGTATGCAAGGCTGCTTCAACATTTCAAAAATCAATTAATGTAACCCATCACATCAACAAGCTAAAAGAGGCATCACATGATCATATCAACAGATGCAGAAAAGCATTTTGACAAAGTCTAACACCCGCTCATGAGTAAAAACATTCAGTAAACTAGGAATAGAGGGTAACTTCCTCAACAATGAATATCTATGAAAAAACCTACAGTTAACATGACACAGGGTAAGAAACTTGAAACTTTCCCACTATAATCAGCAACAAAGCAAGGATGTCCCCTCTCACCACTCTTTTTCAACAGCAAACTGGATGTCCTAGCTAATGCGATAAAATAAGGAAATGAAAGATAATATACACATTAGCAAAGAAGAAATAAAACTGTCTTTGTTTACAGATGACATGACCGTTTATGTTGAAATTGGAAAGAACTGACAAACTCCTGGAACTAATAAGTGATTAGAGCAAGGTTGCAGGATACAAGGTTAACATACAAAAGTCAATCACTTGGACTTCCCTGGTGGCACAGTGGTTAAGAATCCACCTGCCAATGCAAGGGACACGGGTTCGAGCCCTGGTCCGGGAAGATCCCACATGCCACGGAGCAACTAAGCACATGTGCCACAACTACTGAAGCCCGCACGCCTACAGCCTGTGCTCCACAACAAGAGAAGCCACTGCAATGAGAAGCCCGCGCACACAGCAACGAAGAGTAGCCCCCACTCGCCACAACTAGAGAAAGCCCGCGCGTAGCAACGAAGACCCAAAACAGCCAAAAAAAAAAAAGAAAAAAAGTCAATCACTTTCCTATATACCAGACATGAATGAGTGCAATCTGAAATTAAAACAATACCATTTACAGTAGTACCTTCCAAAATGAAATACCTTGGTATAAATCTAACAAAATGTATAGAAGATATGAGAAAATTTACAAGACTCTGATGAATGAAATTAAAGAAGGACTAAATAAATGGAGAGATATTCCATGTTCATGGACAGGAAGACTCACTATTATCAAGATATCAGTTTTTCCCAACTTGATCTATATATAGATTCAATGCAATCCCAATTAAAATCCCAGCAAATTTTTGTGTGGATATTAACAAACCAACACAATATTGAAGGAGAAGAGCAAGGTTGTAGCACTGACACTACCCAACTTCAAGACTTTCTATAAAGCCACAGTAATCAAGACAGTGTGGTACTGGCAAATAGATCGATGGAACAGAACAGAGAGACCAGAAATAGGCCCACATAAATACTGTCAACTGATCTTTGACAAAGAAATAAAGGCGATACAATGGAGCAAAGACAGTCTTTTACAAATGGTGATAGAACAAATGGACATCCACATCCAAAAAACAACAAAAAAATCTAGACACAGACCTTACCTCTTTCATGACAATTAACTCAAAATTGATCACAGACACAAATATAAAACTCCTAGAATATAACATAGGAGAAAACCTAGGTGACCCTTGGGTATGGCAATACTTTTTTTAGATAAACACCAAAAGTATAATCCATGAAAGAAATAATTGATAAGCTGGACTTCATTAAAATTAAAAACTTGCCACAGATTGAGAGAAAATATTTGCAGAAGATACATCTGATACATATGGAAACACAAAAGACCCCAAATAGCCAAAGCAATCCTCAGAAAGAAAAACGGAGCTAGAGGAATCAGATGCCCTTTCAGACTATACTACAAAGCTACAGTAATCAAAACAGTACGGTACTGGCACAAAAACAAATATAGATCAATGGAACAGGACAGAAAGCCCAGAGATAAACCCACGCACCTATGGTCAACTAATCTATGACAAACGAGGCAAGAATGTACAATGGAGAAAAGACAGTCTCTTCAATAAGTGGTGCTGGGAAAACTGGACAGCTGCATGTAAAAAAATGAAATTAGAACACTTCCTAACACCATACACAAAAATAAACTTGAAATGGATAAAAGACCTAAATGTAAGGCAAGACACTATAAAACTCTTAGAGAAAACATAGGCAAAACACTCTTTGACATAAATCACAGCAAGATCTTTCTTGATCCACCTCTTAGAATAATGAAAATAAAAACAAAAATCGACAAATGAGACCTAATTAAACTTAAAGCTTCTGCAGAGCAAAGAAAACCATAAACAAAATGAAAAGACAACCCACAGAGTGGGAGAAAATATTTGCAAATGAAGCGACCGACAAGGGACTAATCTCCAAAATATACAAACAGCTCATGTAGCTCTATGTCAAAAGAAAAAACAACCCAATCCAAAAATGGGCAGAAGATCTCAACAGACATTTCTCCAAAGAAGAAATACAGATGGCTAATAGGCACATGAAAAGATGCTCAACATTGCTAATTATTAGAGAAATGCATATCAAAACTACAGTGAGGTATCACTTCACACCAGTCAGAATGGCCATCATCAAAAAGTCTACAAACAATAAATGTTGGAGAGGGTGTGGAGAAATGGAACCCTCCTACACTGTTGGTGGGAATGTAAATTGGTACAACCATTATGGAGAACAGTACGGAGCTTCCTCAAAAAACTAAAAGTAGAACTACCATATGATCCAGCAACCCCACTCCTGGGCATATATCTGGAAAAAAACTCCAATTTGAAAAGATACATGCACCCCAATATTCACAGCAGCACTATTTACAACAGTCAAGACATGGAAGCAACCTAAATGTCCATCGACAGATGAGTGGATAAAGAAGATGTGAGAATATTACTCAGCCATAAAAAAAGAATGAAATAATGCCGTTTGAAGTGACATGGATGGACCTAGAGATCGTCATACTAAGTGAAGTAAGTCAAAGAAAGACAAATATCATATGATATTGCTTATATGTGGAATCTAAGAATATTATACAAATGAACTTATTTACAAAACAGAAATAGAATCAGAGATGTAGAAAACAAACTATGGTTACCAGCGGGGAAAAGAGGGGAGGGATAAATTGGGAGACTGGGATTGACACATACACACTACCGTATATAAAATAGATAACTAATAAGGAACTACTGTATAGCACAGGGAACTCCACTCAATACTCTGTAATGACCTATATGGGAAAAGAACCTAAAAAAGAGTAGATATATGTATATGTATAACTGATTCACTTTGCTGTACAGCAGAAACTAACACAACATTGTAAATCAACTCTACTCCAATAAAAATTTAAAAAATTAAAAATTAAAGGGAAACAAAAAAATTAACAATAAGTCTTAAGAAAGACATATCTGATAAAGGACTATTATCTATAATATACAAATCTTAAAACTCAACAATATGAAAACAAACAGCCCAATTAAAAAATGGGCCAGGGACTTCCCTGGTGGAGCAGTGGTTAAGAATCCACCTGCCAGGGCTTCCCTGGTGGCGCAGTGCTTGAGAGTCCGCCTGCCAATGCAGGAGACGCGGGTTCGTGCCCCGTTTCGGGAAGATCCCACATGCCGCGGAGCGGCTGGGCCCGTGAGCCATGGCCGCTGAGCCTGCGCGTCCGGAGCCTGTGCTCCGCAAATGGGAGAGGCCACAACAGTGAGAGGCCCGCATAACGTAAGGAAAAAAAAAAAAAAAAAAAGAATCCCCCTGCCAATGCAGGGGACATGGGTTCGATCCGTGATCTGGGAAGATCCCACATGCCACGGAGCAACTAAGGCCGCATGCCTAGAGCCCTGTTCCACAACAAGAGAAGCCACCACAATGAGAAGCCCGCGCACCACAACGAAGAGTAGCCCCCAAACACAGCCAAAAAAAAAGAGGGGGGGCAAAGACCTTAACAGACACCTCATCTAAGAAGATACACAGATGTAAAATAAGCCTATGGAAAGATCCTTCACATGATATGTCACCAGAGAGATGCAAATTAAAATGAGATATCACTGCACACCTATCGGAATGGCCAGAATCAGAACACCACATGCTGGCAGAATGGGGAACGACAGGGACTCTCATCATTGCTGGTGGGAATGCAAAATAGTGTGGCCACTTTGGAAGACAGTTCGGTGATTTCTTACAAAAATAAATATACTCTTACGATATGATCCAGCAATCACATTCCTTGGTATTTACCCAAAGGAGCTGAAAACTTACATTGGCAAAAAACCTGCACACAGATGCTTAGAGAAGCTTTATTCATAATCGCCAACATTTGGAAGCAATCAAGATGCCCCTCAGTAGGTGAATGTATAAATAAACTGGTTCATTCAGACAACGGAATATTAGTGCTAAAAAAAAAAAAAAAAGAGCTCTCAAGCCATGAGAAAACATGGAGGAATCTCAAATGCTTATTACTAAGTGAAAGAAGCCAATTTGAAAAGGCTACAGACTGTATGATTTCAAGTACACGACATTCTGGAAAAGGCAAAACTATGCAGACAGTAATCAGTGGTCGCTAAAGTTTGGGAGGGCGGGGAGACACACACAGGTGCGGCACAGAGGATTTTCAGGGCAGTGAAACTATTCTGTATGATACTATGAATGTAACGATGGATACATCTCATTATATACTTGTCCAAACCACACAATGTACAGCACCCAGAGTGAACCCTAACGTAAACCATGGACTTGGGGTGACTGTGGCGTGTCTGTGAGGCTTACTGACTGGACCAGATGCAGCACCCGGGGGGGCTGCTGATCATGGGGGAAGCTGTGCATGGTGGGGCGCAGGTGTGAGGCAGTCTGTGTACCCGCTGCTCACTGTCTGTACGAACCATGAGGTCTGTACGAACGGGGAGGGCGACGGCTGGCCAGGAACCCCAGTCGAGCACACGTGCCCTGGTGCAAAGCCAAGGCAGACAACCCGTCTGCTCTCAGCTGTTGCCATTGTAAGCAGTTTCCATTGGTCTCGAATTCACAGTTTGTTTCCGTTACCCGGAAAGCAGCAACGTGGTGCCCTCACTCAAAGCACAACGGGGCACCTGAACTTGCAGGTGGCCTGGGCAGGGGCTCTCAAAGGGTGCCCCCAGGGTGCTGGGGGCCCTGAGACCCTTCAGAGGGTGTGAGTCAGAACTCCGTCCACAGTGACACGAAGGGCATGACCCCCGGCTCACGGGGCACCCTCTGCACTGAGGGCTCAAGGCCAGGGCGGCACGAGCGCTGGCCGGGCTCTGGGGAGTGAGTCACTGCAGGAGTCAGTTAATGTCCTCAGAGAAGCATAAAAATCATCTACTTTATGAAATCTCAACCCTTGAGCACCCAACTTTTAGTAAACTCATTCCGATGAAGTCTGGATTTTCTAGGGACTGACAGCGTCTGCCCTCCACCGAGCGCCCAGCTTGAGTGGTCACAGACCACATGTAGCTGGATCTGCGCTCTGTCCGCTTCCTGGTTGTCCCTCCTCTGCGTCCTTCTCGTTCTCCTTTCTTGACTTCATTTGGGTTCTGTGAACGGTGTTTAGATTCCACTCTAAACTGAAGTGTGTTTATGGCCACCTCAGCCATGTGGCTTCGCTCACACGTCGCTGGTGGTTTAGGGGATATGACACGTGTCCTTCCTTTTTAGCTTTTCAACACCCTGGGATGGAATTGGAGGCACACGCGTGTGCAATGGGGCCGTGGGCCGGGCAGCCCCCAGACACCGCTTTTACTTGAAAGAACGACCAGTGACAACTGACTCGTTATTCAGACTTGGGGACTCAACAGGATGCTTTCTTGTAGGCGAATGAAGTGACGGTATTTGTGGCTGATGATGAAATTAAAGCTCTCAAGCAGTAAAATCAGAATTATAGAAACTTGTTTCTGCCACCAAAAGCCTGACAGCCTCCTGAAGCTGTTCTTCCCAAGACTTTTCTGAGCTTGACGCCAACAGTGACTTTTTGACACTGAGAACAGAGCGTGTCCACGTTAATGAGCACGCGGGGCGGATAGATGGACTTGAGCGGAACGGGTGTGGTTCCACAGTGGCTCCAGAGTCTACACTCCAAGGAACCTTGAGGAGACTACCACCTGTCCAGTCAGGGTGTGGTAAGGAAGAGGACCGTTATCAAGATACTCCTCTCTTCCAACTACATCTGTGTGGGCCATTTGTTTTTCACATACTTTAACCAAACGACACACATCACAACCGACGCAACACAGAGATGTGCGTCTGGTTGTTTTCTATCAGCTCGAAGTTAGAGAGATTCACAAAAATGTAAAATAATGCCACTGTTCTTGTTATTTTGCTTTACAAAACACATCTTTCAAAACCACGTTATTTATGTTAAAATGCAATGGGTTGTTATTTTAAACAAATTAATCAGTACCTTAACATTCTCTCAAGTTTTAACTTCTACCACGGTGAACACCAGGGGCCGTAACCCACAGGACACAAGCTCGTTGGGACCCGCAGTAACTTGGAGGACATGGGTTGCAAGACTGCGGGCCCAAGGGAGTCGGGGCGCCTGGCCAGCTGCTCCTGTGCGGCTGGCCCGCGTATGGGGATGAAGCTCTTACCGAGAACTGCGTCCTGGATGGCGCTCTCAGGGTCATCGAGGTACACGAGCAGCTCCCTGTACAGTTGCTGAATGTTGCTCTGGTAGTAGCACTTCCCGGCCTCGTTCCCAACACGCTCCAACCAGGTGACCAAGGAGGCGGTGGCCGCCAGCCTCACCTCGTTGGAAACGTCATCCAGGCGTTTTAAGAGTTCTGCAAGGAGGGGCCAGACAGGAGTGTGAGGAGAGGTTCCAGGGCAGGCGGCTCCCAGCTAAGCTCCCAGCACTTGTGCAGCACCGGTCCCTGGCCTGGGAAACCCACAGGCGGGTGCTGGGGAGGGGCTGGTGGTAGCGGGTGTCCCAGAACCCTCGGCCACTCTGGCCCAGGGGTGGACTCCGTGGACACGGAGTGAAGGTGTGGGCATCTTCGCCCTCTGACCTGCAAGGCGGCTGGGGTCCCCCCGGCTCCGAGATGCTCAGACTCAGAGTCACACACAGGCCTCACGCCCCATCCTCCCCAAGGAGCAGACGGCACAGGAAGGGCGTCTGCTGACCCCACTTTCTGCCCACCGTGGCTCTGGGGACAGAGCTGAGGGCCCGGTGACACGACGGCCACCAGCTACGTCAGCTGTGTTTCTGCTGAGCCTCTGGAACCAGATGTCCCACTGCTGAAAGTGGACGAACAGTCCTTCCTGGCCCGCAGAAATGCTTCCTGTGAACGGGTGAGACTTCTATCAATGTGTGCTCTTCTCACAGATCTCCACGACGCGTCTGCGGGCCTCTCACTGCTGTGGCCTCTCCCGTTGCGGAGCACAGGCTCCGGATGCGCAGGCCCAGCGGCCATGGCTCACAGGCCCAGCCGCTCCATGGCATGTGGGATCTTCCTGGATCGGGTCACGAACCTGCGCCCCCCCGCGTCCCCTGCATCGGCAGGCGGACTCTCAACCACTGCGCCTGTGGGCCTCTCACTGCTGTGGCCTCTCCGTTGCGGAGCACAGGCTCCGGACGGGCAGGCCCAGCGGCCATGGCTCACGGGCCCAGCCACTCCACGGCATGTGGGATCTTCCTGGATCGGGGCACGAACCCGCGTCCCCCCGCGTCCCCTGCATCGGCAGGTGGACTCTCAACCACTGCGCCACCAGGGAAGCCCCAAACATTTATTCTTACACATGCAATAGGTTCCAAGATAACACTTCATTCTAGCCGTAGGGGGCAACAGATGTTATGGCAGGGAATCCAGATGTTTACACAGGAGGGGCTAAGGGTCACCACTGCCTCAGGCGTGAGGAGCCGCTTTTTGCCAGATTTGTTAATCCCGTCTGTGGGCAGGGCCCTTCCCACGGCCTCTGCTCTCAGCATCTCCAGTTTCTTCGGCTCCTGTTTCTGCCGGCACGCCTGGTTGCTTCTTGCCACCCTTGGGGCTAGACGTGGCCCCTGCCGCAGGAAGTGCTCAACTCCTTTGGAACAGCTGTTACCCTTGTAGATTTCCACGATCCGGCACTGAGGGCCTGTACCTTCCGCCTCCCCGGGCATGGGCACACCCACCAGCCCCTGAGCTTCTCGGCTGCAGGCCCGCCTCCAGCGACGCTGCTCCGCTCGGGCCGGTTTCACTTCTGTGGCCGGGACTCATCGGTGCTCTCAGGCTCCAAGAGGCAGTGACAAGGGGGACGCGAGGCAGGGCTGCAGCCCTCACACCGAAGGCCACGGGGTGGTACCCCGGCCGCCGTGGGCGTCTATGCTCCCACCCACCCCACAATTCCGGTCCACAAGACGTCTGTCCTGTTTCTCGTGCTACGTTACTTATTCAGTGACATTCAGTGACGTCATACCTGTCACCAACCTGACCAGAAGTCAAAGTAGCATCTTCTATTTCTCCTACCAAAGAAACAACTGTCAAACAAACAGAGGCATATGATTGGGAAAAGAAGAGTGTCCTACCAGGATAAATCTTGATGAATTTGTCTGGATCCATCACACCACCAGAGGTCTTTAAAAATACGTTAACGATTCGGCACGAAGTTAATCGAGTCGCCTGAGAATCTTCTTCCAGGCTGCTTAGAATTTGAGGCGTCAACATTTCCTGCACTTCCTGTATCTGCAATAAAATAAAGCACACAAGCTGGGGGTCACGGCTGGTGCCACCCTGGTGACAGAGACTGCTACTCACGCACTGTGTACTTTGCCCGTCACTGAAGAGACTTGGTTTTGATGCAAGTATGATTGAGTCTGGAAAGCTACTTTGAAATTTCTATGTAAGAAGCAGACCTGAATCTTGATTTTAAAATCCAGATAATTTGAACATTGGTCAGTTGGTTTTTAAAAACTCTGTTATTCAGAAGGTCTTAGGCACCGATCCTACACAGCCCACTACCTACTAGCAGGACTGGGTACCATGTCCAGTAAAGTCTGGGGGGCGCATTTCAACTTAAGTAACAGCTATTCAGGTACCACATTTTCCCTGCTTCCACTGTTTCCTCAATTCCTCATCTAACTGGAAATATGAGTACAAACAACGCTCTTGAGTCAGACTCCTGTGATGAAATTCTTTTCTTGTAAACAGTAACAATCGCTTAAGAAAACCCCCAGGTGACCAAAGGAAACAACGGGCTTTTCCCCCAGACCTCTGCTCGCCCTCCGGCCCCGTCGTCCCGTCCCCTCAGTCTGTCTGGGAGCATCTGCTGCCGCTATCAGGACAGGAGACTCAGGTGAGCGCTCTTCACCTGCGGCAGGTGTGCCAGGCAGGCCCCGCAAGCCCAGAGCACAGCCTGTTCCCCTCTTGGGTCCAGGACGCACGAGCCCTACCTGCTCATCTGACAGGACCCCGCTGCTGACAAGCGCCCAGAGGCAGGACACGGCCGCTGTACGGATGGCCGCAGCCGTCCTCCCCGCGTGCCACTGCAGATTGGGGACAAAGATGTCCTTGATCAGGGTGTCCAGGTAGCCATGGAACTGTCTGGAGCAGAAGCAGGAGAGAGTGGGTGAGGGGGGCACCCAGACTCCCCGAAGGAACCGCTTCCATTTGGGAAACAGACTGGGCGGAGGGAAAAGGCCAAACAGACAAAACAAGCGGAAATCGAACACTGGACGTTGAACGAGAGCCCCCACTCCCTGGGGTAGTGGCCAGGGAGGGGACGTGGGGCTCTCTCTCACGGCTATCACGGGGCAGAGCTGCACTCGGGCTCCTGCCACCTCTCCTGGGACTGGACCCTGGGGCTGGGGGTGGTATTCCAGCCTCCCTCCCACTCTGTGGCCAAGGGGCTTCCCCAACACCCCTCCTGGATCTAAGAAAAGGGTGGCCGCGCTACCCCGAGCACCGATGGGGCAGCAAGTCACTCCCACAGGCGGCGACCTTACAGAGACGGGCCTCAAGGTCCCTGCAACCACGTGACCATGCCTGCTACCTTGGCAAGAGGGCACCCTGGGGCTGCACGTACGGTCCCATGTGTCAAGACACCGGGAGACACGGATGTTCCCGCCAACACAGTCAGGGACCTTCCTCTCGACATGCCGTCAGGACAAACACAAAGCAAAACAAAATCCCAGCCCTGAGCTCCACTGGCTGGCCTGGCCACCCGGCAGCGGAGCCACACGTGAGGCCCCGTGCAAAAGCCCGGGGAAAAGCCTCAGTCCTCCGTACGACTCCTGTACCCCACGGGCCTCTGCTGATGGAGCAAGACGGATTCTGCTGAACAAAGGACTCATTGACTTGCTTCCCAGGGTCATTCCGGAGCACGCTTCACAGGGGGCTCCTGTCTCCAGCACCAGCTGCTTTGGGACCTGGACCAGCGTGAGGGCCTGTGAGCCCAGGGCTGCTCCATGCCCCCAGCAGGGGGCACTCCTGAGCCACCTGCGCTTCCGACAGTGGACCTGGTGCAGGGCGACCCACACACATTCAAGGTTTTCTACGTGCTTTAGTTTTTTAGCAAGGAGCTGCTGTTCCCTGCAAAGGATTCACCAGGGGACTCTCTGGAAAGCTCAGCCCCATGTCCTGGCTGAGGCGGCCCAGGTGACGTGGCCACGAGGGCCTGAGGGCCGAGTGCTGGCCGTGAGACTCCAGTGATATGCTGGGAGCAGAAAAGGCACTGGACTCCCCAAGAATGAGTACCCTGCGTCCAGAGGACGCACACCTGTTCAAACGCAGCTGGGCCCCGAGACCAGGAAGCCCAGCCCGGGCAGGCCCACGGGCTCCTCCAGCGCCACCAGCATCCAGGCCTTGCCCTGCGGGAGAAGCTCTGTAACATCCCGCACTAGGGAACGGCACTGGGCAGTGTCTGGGCGCCCAGAGAGGGGAGCAGGCCTCCTTCACTGGGGGATCACACTCCAGCCAGGATGGCCCTGCCCCTGCTGTCCTCTGGCTGGGAGCCCTGCACCACCTGGGTGTGCCAGTGCCAGAGGCGCTTTCGGGGGTGGGGTGGGGTGAGGGAGGGCCGCGGTCCTTTGCTATCTCAGATTCTGCAACTCTGTAACCCTGAGGTTCAAAACCTAGCAGGTGTTGCTTTCCAAAATCTTTCCTGCCTGTAAAAACAGTTAATACTTGCACTAGATAATTGTAAATTGAACAACTTTCTTCTCCTGATAGCAGTTTCTTTCCACAGGAAGACTTCAAGGGCAGCTTCTTGAGGGAACTCAGTTCAAGAGTGGGGGCTTCTTTCCTGGGGGTTGACTGTCCTCAGGGGGACGCAGCGGAGCAGGGGCCCCGAGGGGTAGTGACTGATCCGCTGGCTCTCTCCTCACGGGGCAGCTGCCAGACCCAACTCAGTAACCTTTTTATAGTCTCTTCTAACCCTTGAAGTCTTTGCAGACAAGCAGGAAATAAAATTTCCTGCAATACAATGGGCTGGCTAGAGGCCCAAGAGCAGAGATCAGAGTAACATCCAGAGAAGTGAAGTCTGAATAATGACCTGTTATTTCCCTAGGAAAGTCCAGGACAGGCCGACGACAAAGATTTGCTCCCTCTCAGGGAATGGGTCCCCAAAGAGCAAAGAGCATCTCACTGCCTGACGCCCCACAGCCCATCCTGCCAGGACGCTGTGTCACTTTGCAAAGGGAGAGGGCGGGGCCTGCAGACTGCTCTGCTCCGGGCCTCACATCCAGCCTGGGCCGCCCGCCTCCTTCCCTTCGGAGCCCCGAGCTGGAGGCCCGGGAGTTTATGCTGCCTCAAGTCCCTCCAGAGGAGAGGAGTTTCCTAAGTTCTGACCTTAACGGTCATTCAGTCAATTCTCTGTGAGGCCTGAAAGGTATCAGAAGCCTTTTAAAGCTGAGAACAGCTAACATATAAACCATTAGTAGTTAATGTTCCCTAAAACTTTTTCATTCAAGGGAATTTTAACGACCACAAGAACGCGAATGATTTAGTGTCTCTGCGGTGCACTCGCTGCAGGGACTATGCCGCTTCCCTGGGGCGCTGGCTGGGTGGGGAGTCGCACGACAGCAGGACCCAGAGCTCAGGGTCACCCCGGGTCCCACCTGAGACCTCAGTGCGCGGGCACGTGGGGACCACTCGGCCGCAGCACAGCGTGGGGGGCAGCGTGGGGGGCAGCGTGGCGGACCGCGTGGGGGGGCAGCGTGGGGGACCGCGCGGGGGGCAGCGTGGGGGACCGCGCGGGGGGCAGCGTGCTGGGCAGCGTGGCGGACCGCGTGGGGGGGCAGCGTGGGGGACCGCGCGGGGGGCAGCGTGGGGGACCGCGCGGGGGGCAGCGTGGGGGGCAGCGTGGCGGACCGCGCGGGGGGCAGCGTGGCGGACCGCGCGGGGGTGGAGCCGACCTACCCCTGCGAGTCCACCGTCTCCCGGGCTCCCAGCAGCAGCCCCGACAGGGTGGAGAGGAGCTTCAGGCGCATGGGCGGGTCCCGGGCTGGTTGGAGGCAGCTCCTGAGGATGGGGACCAGCTGGGGCAAGGCTTCTCCGAGGGCAGGGCCTAGAGCACAGACAGGGGCCTCATTCCGACGTGGCAGGAGGATGGGAGGACGGAGCCCCGCAGCCGCTCTGGCCGCGAGCGGAGGTGCATGCTGGGCACGGCCAGCGGACATGCATCCTCAGCTCCGGGAAGGATGCTCTCAGCACAGGACGCCAGGTTCCGCCTCTCCCTTTGACCC